TAGGACCAGGGGGTGTTAAAAGATCATGAACATTATAGGAAATATTTCCTGCAGTTCTCACATTATTCACTTAATGTATTTCCAACACTAGCCCATTTCCTATCCTCCCCACATCAAACAAATTTCAAAATGTATTGAAATCTAGAGTGAGAAGAATTTTGCCAATTTGTAATTGACTTCAAACAAGTATTAAATTAACACACATACACAGTAGCAGCAGTTACCACACAGTGCTTGCTAGTTTAGTTTAGTGAGTTCAATGCTTATTGATTATACCTCACCTAGTGCACAAGAGGGGATGTTAAGTACTTGCTTCAAATTCCTGATTCTAACCTCTCAACCTCATTAGATGACTTCTGAAAGAATGGAAGCACTTAGTTATGCTAGTTTACCTGTAACAGGAAAGGACAGCCCATAAAAACCCCCACAATGACAGCTGTTACATTCTATAATGTTTAAAGTTTTTATACTAAAAACCCTATATATTGATATTTGGAAAGCAACTTAGTTAAATCGATGTGATTTGTTCCTTACAATTTTAACAAACACTTTTGGCGAGGAAGCTACATCAAAAGAAATACACAAACCATGTGTTTTCAAAACACACACGACATTCTGGCTACTGTCGTGAAATACAAGCATCATTTTGCAATGTAGCAAGCTAATGCTGAGCAAATAAAAGGCTGAAAAGGATCAGAAAGAATAATTTGGAACATCAATCAAAAGGTCAGTTTTTAAAGTAATCCAAGATCAATTACACTGATTGTCTTTTATCTTAATATATATGAAACCATAATTGATGAGCAAATCAGGCTCATAAGTTTGCTGTATCAAAATCCCTGTGTGTGTGTGTGTGTGTGTGTGTGTGTGTGTGTGTGTGTGTATCTTTTATCTATATCTACTTCTACCTACTTACTTACCTACAAATCTCTCTATATATATATCTCTATATCTCTACCACAAGATGAACTTACAGTGCTGGCAGATTATTGTGGCAGAAGAACAGTTGGAAAAATAGGATAAATACACAAACCCGTAACTCTGCTAATTTAGGGCTTTTCCATACTGTTCCAATTTTTCATCCCCAATCCTCAAAAGTAGGTTCTGCCAACTTTGCAAGACTGAGGCAGAATGAACAGTCACTGCCCTCAAACAAAATACTCTGAACTCTCTTTCCACACAAAATGATAAAATGAAGTTTATGCAACTCTCCTCAGGTTGGCTACATTCGTCTTGTAAAATAGTCTTGAGTGGATATTCTGAGGTACCCAACTATCAAGTCACCTTTCTCTTCAAAAGATCTGCAAAGGCTGTTCAAGCCCAACCGTTGAGTGGAGGTTTGAGGCTGTACAGAAGCTTTAATCGAGCTGTAGCATTTTAAAGAAAATGTTAGGTTTACAGCAGTTTCAAACACACTCTAGCTGAGTCAGAAATAATTTGGCTTAGTTCTCAAGCCCAGCCAAGATTATAGTACCAGAGATGTTCAGGATTGCTTTCAAACTGGAACAGTATTCTTGTCAGGAAGTTTCTTTAGCCTATCTGATTTAGTTATTTATTTATATGATTTATAGGGCGGCTCATCTTGCACTAATAACTCTGGGCTGCCAACAAAGTTAAAACAACACAACCATGACACCTGAGCTTAAACCAATAAACCCAAGTCATAAAAGCAGCATTACCAGCAGAACTCGCCTAACCTAGCCCAAATGCCCGGGGAAACAGCCTGGTCTTCGCTGCCTTACAAAAAGCTAACAGAGTTGGAACCATCTGGGCCTCTGCAGGGATGCTGTTCCATAGGATAGGCACTACCAGATGGCTCCTGGGTCCAAAAAGATGACACCGCTTGATGAAAGAGACTTGGAGTCCATCCTCCCTGTCAGATCTGCTGTGGTGTGCAGAAACAAGAGGCGATTCTGCAAATAGCAAATGTAGGGCTTTATGGTTGATAGCAAGCACCAAGCATTGTACACAGTAGCCTTCTCAAAACCAGTGCATTTTGCACAGCGGTGGTATTATATAGGTATAATAAGAAACACCAAATTTAATTGTGCCACTGCATTCCAGACCAGCTGCAGCTGTGGAAAATTCTTCAAGGGTGATCCCTTATAGACCATGCTACATAGGAAGCAACAAAGGCATGAGTCACTGTGATCCAAAAATGAGTATAGCTGTTGTAGAAGACAAAACTGTGAAAACATCTTCCTAGCTGAATCCAAAAGGACCCTGGACTACTCCATCTGGGGAAATGCATTGCCAGGCAGAGTTAAAGACAGGAAACATCCAGATTTAGGGGCTTAAACCCAATAGCCACGTAGTCTTGCCAGGGCTGAGCCAAAGCCTATTTCTCCCATCCAGATCCCCATAGCCTTCAGATGCTGAGTGGAGGCCACTGGGAAAGGAGGACAGCAGAATCACTTGGTTGGCCTGAGGTTGAAAGGTATAATTAGGTATCATTAGCATACTGATAATATGAAACCCAAAATGGCATGACCTCACCTAGTGGCTTCTGGTAGATATTAAACAGGAGTGGTAGGAGAGAAAAGCCCTGAGGCCTGCCACAGAGCAGAGGTCTCAGGTTTAACTTCTACACTCCCAACACCATTGATTGGAAGCAGCCCTGGAGAAAGGAGAACTGCTATAATGCAGTACTTTTTACTCCCAATCCCTTGTGCTGGAGATAGCAGTGAAGGCTACTGAAATTAAGGAGGGCCAGGATGGATGTACCATCCCATTCCAAACCTACTAGAGATCATCAACAGGGTCAATGTTGCCTCAGTACTGGGTCTGACTGAACCTGCTTACAAAATTTCATATTTTTTTCCAGACAATGGGCATTAGATAAATGAAAATAGCAGCGGAGGAGTCAAGCACAAGATTCAAATAGATAAGCTGACTTTACTGCAGATGCCAAAGAAGCCCTTATAGTGAGAATCAGCTACTGCAGAATCTAGGAATCTAGCTATATTTATTCAGTTCTAGTGTCTCCTCTGCCCTAATGTGATGACAGACTTTTTGACACTCATTTCTCAGCCTTGGGTGTCAAGGGCACTTTCACAGTGTTGCTCTGATCTCTGACTGTTCACTCCATTATCATTGGCTGAAAACATTCCTCCCACCCACAAACAATCAGAGAATCTGCAGCAAAGAATTTCTGAAAATACTGCATCAGATTTCATCACAAGAGCAAAAGTGAGGGATGAGACTATCTTGTGCACAGAAACCTGTTCGCACATTGAATTTAACTTTAGATTTTTAGGATTTAAATTCTGATCTTCCTAACACTATGTGTAAATACATGGCCATTATTAGCTGTGCAACAATAGCAATCATATTAATAAAGGAGAATATTTGTAGTTCAGGGTTGACATGAGGGGTCCTTGGTGCTCTCTGAGCTTTTTTGTTTTCTTGCAGACATTTCATTAACCACACTCACAGGCAAGCCACCAGAATTTAAAGCTGACAGCACACTGCACTCCTTACTAGCACTGATGATGTTACCTAGTTTGGGTAATGAAATGTCTGCAAGAAAACAACAAAGCTCAGAGAGCACCAAAGAGCAATCACATTTTCAAAGAGATAGGAATGTGCAAACCATGGCGTTCATGGATTCTCCTTCTGCGCAGAGGCACCTGTTCAAAAATCTGTACTTTGTAAGCTATGAGTCCACAAAAGCTAGACATGATCTCATAGGCATGGAGTTCACTAAGTAAGAAAGAGAAGCTTCAAACAAGACAAAAAAGTCCATGGCCATTTACACTACTGCAGTGGTTCTTATTTAATCTTCCCTTTCTTCTATCAGCCTCTAGGCCTGTGGTTTTCAAAATCCAGAGAGTCTACTAATCCTACATATAAGTACACTATTTTTAATATATTTATTTCTCTGAACAGCAAGAAAAATAATTGATAGGTTAGGCAGGGTTGACCCAAAAGCTTTCCTTAACTTCAATAACAATCAAAGGGACAGATCCTATATAAAATAGATCTTCAATTATCAGAGAAACATGGCAAATGTATGCATTTAGGTAAACATGAATTTTAATAGATCCAAAATCTATATTTGATACAGAAATGAAGCGGTTAGCATAATAGTATATTTTTGCTATATTTTTTCAAAGGCAATAAATATTGGATATAATCTATAGATTCTGTTGCATATTAGCTTCATAGTGATGATATATCTCCATGAGAAATATAAGAAAAGTTTCATTTATGTAAGCTATGTAATGCTTGGGTATGAATATTATCAAACAACTGCATGTTCATAATATATATATATATATTTATAATATAGAAATAGCTCTTCAGTAAAAACATAACTTGCTAGAAATATATCTACGCATTCTGCAAAATCACGGAAAGCACCTTCAATTGTCAACCACTTGTACATTTGAAAATGGAAGCAACTCAGTATTCATGAGTCATTTGTTGATCAAATACCTAGCTTGTAATTTTGATCAAAATGCATTTCAAAAACTTCATTTTGTGGTTTGACAAGTTCATAAAAAAACACAATTAACAAAATCATGATTTTCAGAAAGCACTTTAAAGTTAGGCAATGCACTCAGGATGTTCAAGCATGGATATTATAGATATATAGGCTTCCTCCCTCCCATATCACAGGGGTCTGTTTGCCAAGAACATGCAGCTATATATGTAGCCCATCATCCTGAACCCAGAAAAAAAAACGTAATTCTTGTCTGTTGAGAAACCATGTGTATTTGCGCTATGTATTCTCCTTTCAGAGATACAACTGACAAAGCCTGTTCAGAAATATATCTGGGAAAACAAAGTACATGAATAGAGTGGGTTGAATTCCACTTCACTTTTTTAATCTAACATATATGTAGATTAAGCTGCTGCAACTCTGCACAACTGAAAGTTCTGCTTTCACTTAGAAACTCAAATTACAATATAATACTGTTTCCACACGTACACAAACCATCTGGTTTCTACGTGGCCTGATTAGAAATGGAAAGATACTGTTTTAGGTGTTTTTTTTTCAATTTTGCTTGCTTTACTTTTTGTTTGACTAATTATATATTTTTCAAGAATTTGTCCCTTTAGTGGATAAAACACAAATCTTATTTATAAAACGAAACAGTTAAGTTTTACCCAGTAACAACAAGGGATGCTTATTGTTTCATCTTTACATTGGATATGTTATCCTATAAAGAGAAAATTTTTTAAAATTACTTGTTGGCATTTTGTGTAAATTGGCTAGATTGGCCACAAGCGTTCAAGTTTGTCAGTGTTGTGCTTTTTTCTCTTAAAAAATGGGATCATAAATGGTTGGCATGATGCAACTTCCCCCTCTTCCTTACTTAGCATAAATAATGACTTGATGAGGAATTGTTGCTTTTCTTGGCAATCAGCAACTATTCCAACCTTTTCCCCTTCATAGTATTAATTTTGATTTTGCAATGCAAGCAGTCAGCATCTAGCTTTTCCCTGCAGCTTCTGCACATGGCGAAATATGTTGCTGTTCAAGGAGGTTAAACCAAACAGAACATAAATCCGGAATCCAATAATCCAAAAGAATTTTAGAGAATGGTCACTTTCTGAGCTATGGCCTACTCAAGATCTCTGAACCTTAAACATAAAATCCTGCCTCTTGACAATGGGCAAAGTTCAAAGATCAAGAATTCACAGAGAACTAGTCCCTTTGAACATATAAAATAATGTGGATATATTTTATATATCATCTATATCACAACCCTCATACAAGGAAAAATGACATGTAACAAATCACATTCGAATATATATGAACAAAGGTTTTACTAGGGCATATAACTCCTCAAAGACAATTCTTATATTAATTTGAGCAATATATAAACCCATATAAAATACCTCATGGCAAATTTACTACAAGTGAAGTTTTGGATGAAATTGGATCCGGGCCACTGAATAACTTATAGCACTGTGTCAGCTTCTAGAAGGCAAAAGGCATGACCGTATATCATGTAAACAATTTTCTTTGAACTACAAAAACAAAGTTAATGTGTAAAGACATTAACTAAAGACCCTAAATGAAAGATCTATTTAAAATCAGAATCTAACTTTATAAAATATGTAGAGATTATTATTTTACATTTAAGTTTATCATTTTCCATACATTTTTAAACTGCTCTAAATTTTCAGTACAAAATAAGTGTAAATCAAGTTGAATAAAAATATATTATACTAAAAATTTATACTTTATCTGTATACAAGCTAATTCTGTTGCTCAAAACCAACAGTATAGCATTGTCTGGTTTTCTGTAAATGTTTAGAATTTCTCATTCATCTGAGGTATTCAGAAAACAAGTTAAACATTTATTTTGCATTTCTTTAAACCTTCTATCTTACTATTATCAATTATATTCTTTCCTTTTCATCTTCATTAAGTAAACAAAGCTTATTTTTATTTTCTTTCAGTACCCTGGCAGAACTAACCCCAGTTATATTTCCAACGTTTATAGCACTTTCTTGCTGTATATTTTCCACACTTTAAAAGTCTGTACATATTTCGTACCTCAGTCTTTGCAAGTAAACAAGACTATTTCACCACCAAAGATACTATACTGTATGTTATTTTAAGTGCCCAGTTGCATATATTCATGCAGACTTAATAGGAATGAAAAAATATGTGGAATGTATATAATGGGAACAAAAAGTTGGCCCCTTATAGTGACACAAGTTGTTTTATTTGTATCATCAAACTATACATGGTCTTTCTCTCTCTGTGTGTGTCTTCTTTCCCTTCCCTCCTTTCCCTCATGTCCTTGAATCATAAATAAAATGAATCATTTGCCCCAAATAAACATTCAACAAGTAGAGGGGCGAGAGAGAGAGAAAGAGACACACACACACACACACACACAGAGAGAATATACAATAGAATCCGTAAATTAATTAAACTGACAAATTTCAACTTATATCATTCCATGGACCATGCAATTTGTGGCATGAATGCTAAAAGTTTTTGGGTGCTGCTAAGAAGGGGGGCATTGTTCCTATTGGTCATAATAGTATAGGGAAAAATAGTATAGACTAGAACTGTTTTAGCTCCAGTACTGATGAAAAAGCCCAATGCAGTCAGAGTCTGGGTTTCTAATTATGTCCTTTGTGGAGCAGGGAGGAACCCTGTGACGAAAGGGAGAAGCACTAGAGAAGCTTGGGCAAATGAAGCAGACCCTCCACAGATATATAAAAACAGCGTGAATGTCGTTTTCTTCAAATAGCTCATTGGAGCAGATTCCTGTTTCTGTTTGGCAGTAATTTAGCTTAGCTTGGTTGTGGATCAGGATTTGTGCCTGGTGCTTATTCTCTAAGAAATTAAAAGACAGTTAAAACCAAGAGTTAATTCATATAGCAACCTGCTTTTTGCCAATCAAACCTATTACCTTCCAGCAGATTTCACTTTCTAATATTTCTGAATTCAAACTGTTCTAATATTTACATTTAACAACAAAGAACATTCCAAGAAACAGTGCCCTCTCTTTTCAAAAAGTGTAGTGTAAATTGAGAATGACTGCAAAGAAAGGAGAGCTTTTTGGTTGGTTTGTTTGGTTCCAATTTTGCCACCCATGGCTTCCTGATGTGCTTTTCTTCATTCCAAGTTTCTGTATTTGGTGAACAGATTGTAGAGCACTCTCAGCGTTGACTTTAAGTCACAGTTGACAATGTCTAAAAAGACAGAGAAGTGGGGGAAGGAAGGAAAGGTGAGCTTTTTAAATAACCTGAAATCACCGTGAGCAAATTAAAAGGCCCACATTGGGAAGAAACATAATCACACATTCACATTTATAGGCGAAGACTACAGTTCTAGTAGTAAGACTACTGAAAGCTATTTGATTTTAACAGAGTTTTAGCAGCCAACCTACAGGATTATAATAAAAGCTTGCTACAAGTGACAAGTGCATTCCTTCGGAACAGGCCTATGTAGCTTTGGACCCATGAAACCAAATACAACCCACCTACTATCTAATTATGGCTCATTAAGTGGGCGATAGACCTTCTGGTTTTACTACTCACATGGGTTTACAAGCATATGGGGTGATCAGGCACTTGGCAGGCTACAAGTGGTTCAAAAGACGTGTTAGACTCAGTTGGTCAAGTTATTCTGTAGCTCTGATGTTGTTAATACAGCTGAAGCTGAAAACCTAGAAGCCCAAACATTTCTCAGGCTTCTGTGTGGCCTAGGAGGACTTTTTGACTAAGATGACTGCACTAGCAAGTGCTTCTGTGCTCTTTGGGATAGCATAACAATAGTATAAGGAGAGGGCTGTAAAGCACTGTAAAGCGGTATATAAGTTTAAGTGCTATTGCTATAACAATTTACTTTTCAAGAATGATTGCAGCACTGACTCTGCAAATCGCACTGCTGTCTTCAGGGTAAGTCTCTTGGCAAATCATACAGAGGTAGTTTACATTCCTCCAGGAATGTAATGTCTCATTGTGCCAGTTTCACTTACAGCTCTGGAATTTCTTATTGATCTCCCAAGCAAGGACTAACTAGGTCTGCCCCAAAGCTTAGACAGACTAAATTCAACTGGATTTGCTGTCAAAAACACAGGTAGCATTAAAACCAAGAAGAGGTATTTTAAACATTTAAACAAAAATTCAATAATGTTTCCAATTACTGTACTCAAGATTGAGTGCTTTTTCAGAAACCAAAACAAGAGAAAATGTTTAAACTTTGGATATTATGAGTGGAATAGCAATAGCATTTAGGCTTATATACCGGCCCATAACACTTTACAGCACTCTCTTGGCAGTTTACAGTGCAGAAGCATTATTAGCATATTGTCCCACACAATTTGGCTCCTCATTTTAGCAGCCTCAAACGGATGGAAGGCTTAGTCAACCCTGAGCCCCGTCAGGATTGAACTCCAGGCTGTGGGCAGAGTTAGCCTGCAATATTGCACTTTAACCACTGAGCCACCAGGGCTCCTCAAGGATAACACCTGGTTTTAGTTTATTTTTGGTTTTAGTCTAGCCTGGGTCTACTCCAGCCTCATACCCTCATGATGAGCAGGCTGACCACTTCCCAAATTCCCAGAAATGGTCCAGGGCTAACTAAGTATTCTGGAACTCTCCATCCAATTCCATCAGAGCACTTTCTGGGCAAGCATTGAAAAGGAAATGCTATTTTAAAGACCACCATTATATATTTTCCCTCTTAGGGCTCCATGCAACATATCCACACTATGCATCAGGCTGGTACTAGGGAAAGATTCTAATTTATTGTGTGTTGTCTTTGGAAAATACATTCCATATTAAGATAGTAAAAAAGAACTAAATATCAGATTAGACCTGCTGCCTGTGATTGCTTTTGAGACCCCCTTGTGTGTTTAGAAGAAATACAGATTAATACAACTTTTGATTTATTCTGTCAGTCGTATGTGCATGGAAGGCATTTTAAAATAGTTTGGTAAACAACCTTTATAGCTTCAGGTTATTTAATTACTGGTTATTTCAAAACATTGACAACGAGATCCCAAGGGCAGCTTGTGTAGACTTCAATCTGCCCTCCGCTGACCATTTGTTATGCCTGTCAGGCTTTCTGCATTATCAGATTATCTTTTTCTTTTAATCATCATTTTCTTAAAGAGAAATGGTAGGATGAAATGCTCCAAAGCAAAAATGCATTTTGGCATTCCTCCTCCCTGAATGCTTCTGTTTCCCATAAAAATGAGAATAAATGTGTGAAGAACAGTGCAATGCCTATCTTTGAGAATTGGTGCCCATGAAGGGGGAGCTGGTCTAATGGACTACCGTGAAACAGCAGTTTCCCAGGAAATGGGGTGGGGTGGGTGAGACAAGAGATGACACAGCCTGGAATTGGTTGGTAACAGAGGAAGAGAGTTAGAATAGCCACTCCCTAGAATCTTCCAGGGTATATTAGTTAGGGCGAGAATAGAATCTGGCAAGATTCTGTCTATTGTGTTGTAGGTAACCAAGAACTAAATTCTGGCTGACTTGCAAACTAGGAGCACACATTTAATAGTTTGGACATGCACATATCCACACACACTAGCTTTTTAACGGTTTATGCCAATAATTTCAACTTGTGAAGGTCACCCTCCTGCTGCAAACGTTTTATAGGAACGGCCAACACACTCTTAAATGCCAAGGGCTCTGCTTTTGTCAGTCATTCTTGGTAGAAAGGATAACATTACAGCTTTGAGGAAAGATATTGCTAGATATGGGGTGACAGTAAAAATAAATAATTTTTACACAGCACTCAGGGAAAAAACTTATGCTGAATGTTACAGAATTTGCCTCTTTAAAGCTGCTTGAAAGCTGGAGAGGAACATTTTATTTCATTGGTGACGAAGGTTCTCATTTTATTTATAGACCAAAGATTTGAAAGGCAAATTCCTTATTCTGCTCTTGTTTCTAACTATTTTTCATTCAGAAAAACAAGGGAAGAATTTAAAAGCTATTTTATGTGCACTCCACAATTATTAAAATGCTTTTCTGTACATGGATGCTTGCTGGAAAATCTAAATGTAGGCATTGTGCCCAGATGTAACAACATATAAAACAGATGTGTTTTTCCATTCACATTGAGCAGGAAATTTCATATTAAGCATGTTAATAATTGTACATGAATGCTGAAATGTCTGTGTGGTTTGATTTATACCAGAGGGGGAAAAAAATCAACTGTTTCTCGAAGCAGTAAATACCTGAAAAACTGAAATGCTGTAATAACATTAATGGGCCATAAGGGATAGAGAATCGTAATGTTTCCATTTACAGCCTAATTCTACAATTCCGACTCTATCTTCACTCAGATGCCACAAGGTAAAACTTGAATCCATAAGAAGATAGATAGCACAAAGTAGCCCCTGCCAATCTTAACTCACAGCTCTTCTATTACTTGTCGTTTTAGGGCAATTTAAAAAATCCAATCCCACCCCATTAAAGGAAGAAGTGATTAAGAGTGAAGAGCATTAAAACAGTAAACCCTAGATGACAGGTAATTGTATTTGCCAGAGAAAATGGAATGAATTATGGTAAGTTATACCCAAGACAAAAAAGAGGAAATAGATCAATGTAAGTGATGTACGTTTTGTCACTTGTCCTTTCTTGCCCCTCTTCTACAAGCAGCCATGCCCAAATGAGAAATAGTCTATTCAAGGTATGCCCTATTCTATATCTGGACTTGCTGGCAAATTGTAACATTTCCATGGCTATCAACAAAGTCACTGAATCCTAACCTGAGCTGATGTTAAACATCATCCCACAACCCTGAATGTGATTTCATTAGAGATATGTACAAGAATGAGAAGAACAGCCCCCGCCCCCAAAAGCCCCAATTTCAGCAATTACCCCGCCTCTGTTTGGCATCAAATCCATCAATGGAGCTCTTGCAAGATTCAGGAAAATAATTATTTGAACCACCTACATTCTGAATGTACAGGCTATCCTCAAGATACTACCATAACAGAGTCTCCCCAATAACCAAGTCATGATATCCGTAAAGCAGGTTGGTCATGTGACCAGTCTAATTTTATGACCTTTGTTGTGCACTCATTAAACGAATGCCACAGTTGTTAAGCAAATGCCACAGTTTTTAAGTGAATCAACACTTTGGTGCCAATTTCACTAAAAAAACAGAACTGCTTTTGACAAAACAGTTGTAAAACACGGTCAAATAATCGCAGCAGCCCACAAATGGACATCAATAGGACCTAGTTGCCAAGCACCCAAAGTGCAATAATGGGATTATCAGAACATGGAATATGAATTAGACCCCAAGTAGGTCTGTTGGAACTTTGGTTGATAAGCAATCAATTGTAAATCAAGGATTACCTATATCTGTTACTTTGGTGGGAAATCTTGTGATTATGGTATCATCCTGGTAAGTAAATGTCCTTTTAAAAGTCTTATAAAAATCTGTTTTTACAGAAAGAAGATCATTAATACTATTTCTGGAAATCATCATGAGCCACAGTGATGCAAGTGGTTACAGTACAGTACTGCAGGCTACTTCTGCTGACTGCTGGCTACCAACAATTTGGTAGATCGAATCTCACCAGGCTCAAGGATGACTCAGCCTTCCACCCTTCCGAGGTGGGTAAAATGAGGACCCAGATTGTTGGGGACAATATACTAACCCTGTAATCTGCTTTGAGAGGGCTGTAAAAGGACTGTGAAGCAGTATATAAGTCTAAGTACTATTGCTATTGATATCAAAGCTATTCTAAAGATCAAATTTGGAAACTATCAAATGTCCTCTGGGCTGAAAAACAGAAACTTTAAGATTTTTATCTACTTAGGATATTAGAATTTCATTTGTTTGTGTTTCTAAGAAAATAACAAATAATTAATGGAAAATTAATTAATCCTCATAATTAGATTATCAAATGAAAATAGGCATTTATTTCCCATGAATCTTTCCCTAACTTTTAGGTGATTTTACCAATGAAATGTATCTTCAAGACATTCAACATATACCTTCTGGCCTTGGCTTTGGTTTTTCCAGCCCTCCATCTTGCATTAACTCAAATGCAAATGAGACATTGAGTACCTAATGGGTTAATTAAGAGAAAGCAATTACTTACAATTCTAGACTAATGAAGCAGAATAAAAATAGAAGAGTGACATTTATTTAATCTTTATTTAAATCAAGTGTTATTGAGGTTTTTTGTGTGCAGTGCTATGAACCCTCTTTTAGGATGACAACCAGTATAAACATAAATAGTCAAATTAATTCTTCTTTAAATGCATAAAAGTTTACCTTTTGTTCAAAACTGTCAGGAGTTAGGAAAAAGCTGTGAAGAGGCACAAAATAACCTTCAAGAAGACCCATCAGCAGCACCAGGTATACACCATCTGCAAACTTTTAAAAATAACGCCTTTTTAAAGATCTAATCTTGTAAAGATACAGGATTTAAAAAAAGCAACTGCTTGATTTTAAAGTTTTGTAAGCATAGACAATTATGCATCACAGAAGTTCCTGTCATTAAGAATGGTAGGACTCAGGTGCTTGTAAGTGATTCAGAAGAACTGAAGTACTTGACCAAGGGAAGTACTCTACATCAGGG